TATATATATATATATATATATATATATATATATATATATATATATATATATATATATATACAATATACTTTGTTTTTGTAAAAACAATATTAAGCCCCAGTGATTTTAGCTTAATTCATGCTGTATTGTTAAATATTGCAAAACGTATCTAAAGTCACACATTTGAACTACTCGTTTGAGTAAACACATTTTAACGAGTCTCATTAATTAACATCATTTCAAGGGGAGTCAGTAATGCCACTAATATGGCTATTCTGCAAAAATCTAACCTTCATCGCTGACATCTATGCACCACCAAGTCACCTGCAGCTATTCTGGAAAAGTTTGCAAGTGTGCTACTATATTATGATGTCTTCATATTGGTCCTTAACCATCGCAAAAAACGTATGATTACACTACCAAATAGCTGATTGGGTGCAAAGAAGTCCACTGCCTGTCACTGTTCATGTTGTGAAATGGAATGCTCTCACCCCATCAATTACACACAAGGCCATAATGCTGTATCATACAAGGCTCGGGTTATTTGATGTGTTCTATTTCATGTAGGCTTTGCCCTCTAAGAGCGCACATGCAGTTATAAAAAAGGATTTTCCTTTCGCCCTGCACGGGCCTCTGACATCTTCGCAGTTGTGACAAAAAGTGCCATGTGACCATAGTCCTTCTACCATTTTTTCTTCAGCGTCCAACAGTCAACAAATCACGAATGAAGAGCGCTGTGACGGACACAAGTCTGCTGGCTCAGCTCCCTCCATAGCAGGTTCTCCACATTTGCAGGCTTCCTCCGTCCCCACAGTGGCCAGGAGCCTCGCAGCAGCGACTCTCTCCTTCTCCACATCAGTTACCTGCCACTAAGGCACATTTTTAAGACTTGCCAAGCATCAAAACAACATGGCAAAGGCTCGCCGCTGCACAAGTCACAATGCAGCTGGCGCAGCTCAGTCACTCCCTCACATTTTCACGAGTAACAAATCCTTGTTTAAAACTTGCATTACTGAATTATCAGCCTCCTCCCATCCTTCAAAGGGAGTTAGAGGTGATATCCCAGCACCCCGGTGTCAGTAGCCCAGTAGCCCAAATCTCTCTTGAGATACTATCTTTCACGACGCGCTCCTCCTGGCCCCGACATCGGCTAAGAGAGCGAGTGAACTATGGCCTCTGTCGGTCTCGTCATCCTGCTTTTCCATTAGAGAAGAGCAACCTTACAGCCAAATCCCTCATTTATACCTAAAGTCTTAAACTCTTTTCGGCCCAGAACCATTTCTCTGTAGAGATGCATCCTCACCAGAATGAGGCAGAAGAAGCATCTCATCAACTCTGACCACTGTGCACTTTGTCTCAGTATGTCGCACATATGTTTAACATAAACATAGCGCAGCAGCTGTTCCTTCATTACAGAGGGCACTCTCAAGACATGGGTCTGTCAAAACAGCATCAGTCTCGCTGGCTGTGTGACGCCATCACACTAGCCTACACTGCAGCAGGAGTGGGGCCTCCGTAGGGCATCTGAAATGCTCTCCACCAGAGCTTTATCCTCATCCATGGCCCTCCTAAGAGGGCTGGCAGTGGCAGACATCTGGGCTTCTCTGTGCCCTTTCATCCGATTCTTTCTGCTCCATGTATCCGAAACCTCCCGAACTCTTTCAGTGTTCAATGTGCTAGATGTCAGATGAAGAGTTGCCTAATCAGGCACCTCTAGGAGGATTTAATCTGATCATCAACAGAATTGATTCTTGTTTAAGCTTCTCCCTAGAACGGCCATTGTGAAATCCTTCATTAGCAACTGGAAGTAGGCAGAGAAAGCCAGAAGCCTATAAGAACAGAGATCTCGGTTATTGATTAAACGGTGTGGAAGTCTTCAGTCCCAGCTGAATTCATCGGACTATCAACAAAAACTTTGTTTACTCCAATTTAAGATGCTAACAACGCCAGCCAGCTTTACACATACACACAGATAACAAAGATAGTTGAATATATATTATAATAAATGTATGATATCCAGTGTATGGATCAAGCCCATGATGTGCAAGCAATATCCTGGTGAGCTTTAAACAAATGTAAAAGCAAAATGAATTAGTTTTATATTAGATAATTAAAGCTTTAGTGATAGCACAATACTCCGCTGACAAATTATATTGCAAATGTAGTTTTAAAAAAAGTATACTGTAGTGCTTTCTATCTACTTCTCTATGCCATTTCAAAACTATTATGCCAATAATCTTTAAGCTTGACAGGCCTAGCAACAGTAACCGAGGGGGGAGGGGCTTAGTGAAGGTCAATTGACGTCCCCACTCTTCTGCAACGGCAGTGCTGTGTGAAGAGAGTGTGATATATTTGTCTCGACAAGGGGCTGTGTTAACCGCGTCACAGTCAGCGCCTTCCCTGCCATTCTTACGTTCGGCATCTGCAGTTTGTGAAGTGGTGCGTGTTGTCTTCTTGTGGACCTCGGTGTCACAGTGGGGCATTGGGAACCCGATAGTGACACCTCTCAAAGTAGAATGTTAGATACCGTAACTCGTAAGCTGTGGGCCCAACCTACTCCAGCTGAAGAAATGCCGGTTTAAATTGGGAGCAGAACTATGGTCACACATCGCAACTGCGGACGTGCGAGAGGCCTGTGCAGGGCACAAGGCCACAAAAAATAAAAATGTTCATGACTGAGCAGGGATGAACCCAGAATCTGGCGTTATGATATGTAGCTAACTTCTTTTTGCAGAATTTGTATTCATACTTGCACTTGCACAGCGGGGTGAATGGTTGACTTTGAGAGAGTGCAGGCTGTTTCTGATGTTCTAATTTGATCAACACCATGAAAGTATTGAGTATGCATCTTTTGATTCAGATTCCAACCAAATTACACCAATTTTCTTATCCATTTCGACTTTTCAAATATACTCAAAAAACCGCTTCTGACACTGAAGTGAAATTGACTGCACACAAAAAATCATAAACATTCAAACCCCAAATTGTTCATGGCAGTTAATGTTCTCGACTAGTTATCTCGGCAAAACAAGTGATATAGAGAGCTGGCTGTAGTTGTTTTCCATACCAGAGGGGTGTCTGTAAGGTTGACGGATTAAGTGAAAAAAAAAAATAGCCACATACAATCCATCCCAAAAGGAAAGCTGTGTATCTTTTTCTATGCACTGTGAATGAACTGTCTGTGAAAACAGAGCATCAACAGGAAAACACAGACACATGCAATGTGGGACAGATGGTATGACACAACAAAAACAGCAACTTATTCAACTGACAAACACACAGGAACACGAGGGGTTGTTCGGGTTGCTCTCCAGCCTAAAAAAAACCCCACAGTTTTGTGTGTTTTGTGCATTTCTCAACCAGCATAAACCTAACAGGGAATACTCTGTAAGACTGCATCTGTTGTGCAGCAGCTGCTGTCTGTCAATATTCAAAACCTACCTTTCTTGTCCCCAAAAAAGAGGGTCTGCTGTGCTGGGTTTGACCACTGGAGGGAGGTGTTGTCATTGTACTCCACACGGCAGGTCATGTTCGCCGTCCCACCCTCTGTCACCGTCATATTCTGAACCAGTGGGTACTGACCGCTGATGCCTGTAACACAACCCATAAGAGAAAAGTGTGAAACAAGATGAGGATGCATCAGCAAAGGGGGATATCGAAAGATACAACGGCAGACAGATTTAAACAGACTTTACACGTTTGATTGCTTGATTTGTAAGGTTGCTTTGTTGATGAAATTCGCTTGATGAATTTCAGATGATCACAAAAAATGAAAGCTAGGAAGTAATGCGACTTTATAAAGATGTACATAAAACAAAGAAAAGACTCGTCTGTCTCTGGAAGTCAAGAGAGGAAATCTGGTTTGAGGCTTAACACCCTAATTAAAAAGCCAATGTTCAGCCAGGATGGCCAATCAGTACTGTGTGCTAAATTGGACCCTAACATAGAACACAAAGGGGGCATTTAGCCTGCGGTACCAACCCTGAAACCTAAACTACACTGGGGAGACCAATTAAAAAAACATTTTTAGTAGACTTGTGTGTGCATGTGTGGATGCTGGTGCGTGCAATGCCCGCATCCAAATGACAGAAACTGGTTATATTGTTGCATGTGAATAGTCCAAGTAGAGAGAGTTTTCAGCACCATGGACAGGTCTCTATTGCAAGTGGTTTGTCAATAGCTGCCAGTTTTCAGAACTCTGGACAGCTCACTGTTGTGCGTGCGTATGTTTTAGTGGGTGTGTACATTTGTGTGTGTGTCTGAGGGAGGCTGTGAGCAAGTATATAATAATAACCATATATCTATCCCTGTCCCTATTCCCAGAGGACGGGTTTTAAAGACTGTGTGACTAAAGGCTTAGGTAAGAAAGATTATTCATCCCCTGCTAACTCTCCCATCTTAAACCACCATCCCCCCCCCCGGGAAAGGATCATGAAGCTGAAAAAAAAAACCATATATAAGGAAATAAAGAAGTAAGAAATATTTGGAATTGAGGAGTTTTTTAAATTCCATTCCTGTGTGATTCTGTTTGATGCCTTCCCATTCAAACATTGCTTATGTATTAGAGCTCATTTAGCTGGCAATTTTGTGTTTCCCTTTCTTCAGATAATGACTGCACAGGTACGATAAACAAACCATCAAACAGTGCTTGTCTGCAAGGTTAGCGGGTGAAGCAAACCCCATCACTGACAGACCTGTGGCGAAGGACATGTTGAGAGGAGAGAGGGTGAGGTGAAGGAGGGGAGGAGAGGTAGAGAGAGGTAAGTCAAGGAGCACGGGTCATTTCCAGTGTTGATTAAGGCCTCCCGAGGTTAATCATGCGTGTGAGAGATAGAGAGGGAAGGGCAGGGAAACAGGGGGGTGAAAAATGGATCAGAGCTATGGGAGGCTAGGAATATGTTTTATTCATGAAAGTTTTGCATGACGCACGATCTGCCAACGATTTACCGTTCTCCTGCGCCAGCCGTCGCTCTCTTTATTACTTCCTCTCTTTAAATCACTTATTTTTTTCCTCATTTTTCTCACTCACACAGTTGGGCAACATACAGCCCAGTGTGAAACAATTTATTTCTTTTGTTGCTGGCCGCAAAGGGAAATTAATGGTTAACTGCCATACCGAATGGTGGAGATGATGATTTCTGTGTGAGCTTCTGCACAATATGATGTAATATAGAATTCGACATCATGCAGTGGATGTGTCCCTGCAAAATGTAATTGAAGATGGAAGACACTTTTGGAGATATGCTTGTTTGTTGTATTGTCAACCCTGTACTCATCCCTGAATATGTAATCTGCTAGTTTGTTCTTCAAATTATCTGCTTTTGACAAACACGGAAACACCACGAGATTACGTCAAAGTGCTTTTAACGTGCCCCTTGGGAATATGAAAAAAATGATATAATATATATCATAATATAATGTAACATAATAAATAGTGTTTGAATTTCACTGCAATAAATACATTTGAAAATATATATATATATATATATATATATATATATATATATATATATATATATACTGTATATTACATACAGTACTGTGCATAGGTGTCACACATGAGAGCCTGCATGCTTACTTATCAGGACAGAAGCTACATATTATAGCATTATATTAAAGTTTGTTTTTGCTTTCCTTTCCTTTTTCTCCTCTCCACTTATACAAAGTCACAATAGTCCGGGGATCCCCCTGCCTAAGCCCTTCGTCGGTGTCTGGTCAAACACGTCCGGTGGGACTGAAAGGGCCAAAGGGGCCACAGTGATGGTTATATTAGAACAGTGCAGTGTTCCGTGTGCCTAATTGGCCAATGGAGTAGGTTCTTCCATTCTCCCCCCTGGCCACCCAGACCTGATTTAAATGTATCTCCTGAGGGAAAGAGGCAGCTGTTCTCTCCTGATTTCCATGTCTAAATTTAGGTCCTTCCCTCACTTCACCTCCAAGCTTTCTCCTACTTTCAGTTTCTTGCACTCTCTTTTCCAGTTCACAACCATTCCACTCAATTCTCTCTCTCTCTCTCTCTCTCTCTCTCTCTCTCTCTCTCTCTCTCTGTGAGTCACGTTCCCTCCTCAGGTTGATCCCTGAAGGGTGGCATTTCCACTTTCTTTGTCTCTCATTTTTGTATTCTCTCTGTTTTCTGGTGCTCCCCAGTCTTTCAAATTTATCTTGATCCTACCTCCTTTCTTGTGCTCAATTGGGATATATCTCTCGTGGAGAGTGGGGTCAGTTTAATTGCCCTCCACTTTGACTGACACGCCAAGGCTAAGCCAGGTCAACAACATCCTCAAGTGCATGACATTATGAAGTAATGACATAATGAAATTAGCTTTGCTTGATTTAGCTTGAGTTGGATAATATATGTGTGTCACCCCCGCCGTCTTATACTATAGAGCAAGGTAAGTGTTGATGTATTCATGGTGACTATTGCAACGCCGGTTGCAGCTGCCTCTAAACAAGCAGCAAATTATTATTTCCTCTAGATTCTCACACTTTACCCTTCATACAGCTGTCTCCAGAGATGAGCTGGATCTTAAGATTTAATGGGACCATTCAGTACCCTCCAGTACCCACTGTATGCACCGGCTAATAATCAAGGCTGGCGGCAAAGCTTCCCCACAATCATTTGGACTTGTGCCTCCCACCACACAAAGTAGAGTCTCTAATATTTCTCAAAAGACTAAACTATTACTATTATGTCAAAAGTAGATGCTGGTGCAGCCAGTAGAGATATTTCCATGACACAAAGGTACATTCAAACAGACAGTACCTGTTGCCAAAGCAAACTACCAGACAAATAATACTGATAAGAGTATCCCGGATGCTTCCTGTCCGCTCTCTCCGACATGACCTTTCAAGCAAGAGCAGCTGAGTCTACTAACCATTCTTATTTAGGCATTCAAGAAGCAGAGAAAAAGAGAGCGATGCGGGGAGACAGACGGACAGCCTGGAGCTACTGACCTTTATACCAGGACTGGAGCTCAACTGAACTGTAGAGCTATGATGCATGGGCCGGGAATACAGGATTACAAAATGGACAGAGGCAGTCCACAGTTTTGATTAGCCGATTCACCTTTTAAGCCAGTCGAACATAAATACCCCATCAACGCAAACTCTGGATTTTATCACTGTATATTTGAATTGAAAGGATCAGTCTCGTTTTCACAGTGCCATCATTTCTATCGGACATGGAACGAAATCGGTGAGATCTGGAAACACTGTGATGTTGCTTCAATGAAGCAAGAAACAAAGTGGTAGGACAATAAGGCAGGTTGTAAACAAGTCGACAGTAGATAATCCTTAAAATGAACATACTCGTAGTGTTGGTAATAAACCTTCATTGCGACATAAGAACTGTGTTCACGCACTACGGTAAGGAGAGAAGGTAAAGTATCAACCAAAAAGCTGGTATAGTATGCAAACTGGGACGGATATTTACAAAAATGTTAAGTCACAATAATGAAGTGATACAAACGACCTCAAGTCGCTCACTGTTTACATGCATCCCACTCAGAAGATCATGAGTGAGATGCAGAAGATTACAAAGTATATGGCGGCTTTGCCATGAGCAGCTCGAGTCTATACGGTTATGCAGGTGGCTACACAGCTGGATACACAAGCTTCTCAGACTGAGTGATTCTCCGAGTGTCAGGCAGCAGGGTGGCCCGGTGATTGGAGAGACCATACAAGGTCGAGAGTTTGATCTGCTAAAGAGCTGGTGTGAATTCATCAATCAGCTATGTATCCTGTCACAATGTCCTTGAGCAAGAAAACTTATCTACCAACCTCCTTCCTGGTTTACAGCGTCATCAAAATGTTGAAAAAGCAAAATAAACCTGAACTTTTAGGCTGGTTTTTATTTTTTTTCTGGGCGAGAACCAATTTTAGCCGATAATATGGAACACAAAATGTTACCGGTAACTTCCTGGAGGAGAAGCTGACATATCAGACGAGTGCATCATCACTCCCTGCTCTCGCTCTGGGACTCTCCCTCCCACTGTGACAATTTTCACACCAACTCCTTCCTTTTTCTCAGGAACATGTCATGCAAACAGACAGTCTTGTTTCTTTCTCTTTCGCTATGACCTTTTTTCACGCCTTCTATCAACATTCATCCCAAATCCACGTTGCAGCTCAAATGTGATTTATCAACATTTCATAACGCTATTACACCTGAAAAATAAGCCTCCAGCATTCACATTTAAATTAAACTGTATGTTCACATAAAAATAAAAAAAAGTACCAGTGTGACAAAACTATATATGTGTCTTTTTAAATAGGAAGGGTGGAGGGTTGCAGCACTGCAAGTCATTTATCTTTTAAATTTCTGGAAAAACAGAGACGGTGATGACACATGTCGTGCAAGCCGGCCGTTCTGCAGCCGGATATTTTGTACTGAAGGACTCAAATCTAAAGGGTAGAGTGTTGAGAATACATTTACATTGACTTCCATTCTAAGTGAAACAACTCTCAATTTGTTCTCCATATATCTAAGGATGTATGCATTTTCCATGACAAAATCAATTTTTATGGAAATACTATATAAATATCAATTAATGTAAAGCTCATTCTGCAACTAACCGATAGCTAACTAGGTT